ATCTGAGTGTGGGAGTGCTCCTATTCTCCACTCCAGGCTGCTCACACCGACACACTTTCTGCATCTTTATCCTCTTCACACTTTCCCTATCACACTTTTTATTGCCCTCACTTTCCTGCAGTCTTTGTTCTCCTGCCGCCGGTTTGTTGTCCTTTTCATCTATGGTTTCTGCCTTGCTGGCTGTTTTGATGAGAGACTCCAGCTGGAAGTCATGGTAGGAAGAAAGGCAGGATCCTGCCTCGAGTGTGTGGGCAGGTCTTTAGACTTCTGCTGTAAGGGGGAAGCCTACAATAACTCCCACAGACTTTCCTCACACACACGCACACAAGGAATTTTATTCCTGGCAAAAAGCTTTTCCTTATGAAAGTATTTGTTGTTAAATGCAACACAGCAGACGGTCAGCAATAGGGTTTTAAAATGTAGTTTTAACTGCAAACTAATTCCACTTCAACCAAATTTTAGGCTGACCCCAAAACAAGCTAAGAAAACTGATAAAAGGTCTTACTGAAAAACAAATCACCATCTGAATCAACAGATGGATGTTTCTTCTCATTGTGTTGTATCAGTGTCTTTATGTGAGATGCCTTTTTTTTCTTCTAAAAAAATTTCAATTAATATTCTTCTCAACTGTTTATCTGAAATTAAGTTAAAACAGATTTTTAACTTAGACTCGGGTTATTTAAAAATGTGTTTCAACTTTGAAAATGAAAAAATAAAACTAAATGCTTCTATTGCTTAATACACAGTGTTGCAGCTGCAGGCCTTTTATTTGCAACAAGAAGTTACTGGGTTTGATTACTTTGGTTTCCATCCTCAGCCCAAAAACGTTCATGTTGTGTTAACTGACCTCTAAAAATCTCTTTGGAGTAAAGTGAGCATGTATGGTTGTTGGCGTGTGTGTGCAGGTGTGCGCAGGTGTGTGTGTGTGTATGTTCGTGTGTGTGTTGCTACTTATTGAGTATGTAGCGTCTCTCATCCTATCATGACTGAGATTGGGACTAACCCTGCTGTGTCCCTGCAGTGATGAGGAAGGTAGAGCAAATAGATGAGTGCGACATTCATTTTCAAATTTTTTTTTTAAGTTTTCTTACTTGGTAATAAGTAATTCCCCTCAATTTCTTCCAATTAAATGCACACTAATTAAAGGTATTATTTTTCCTCAAATATTTAGTGTGTCTACTGCAATAAAATATAAAAAATATGAAATTGAACTCCCCTGTGGTGACAGAAATAAAATATATAGTGTGGAAAATAAAGTTGTTATGAAAACAGTAATTTCCAAAGGTTTCTTAGACTGAAGTTATTAAATGTTCTACTTTTCTGTTCTGCATAAAGACTTGCAACAATTATGATAATAGAAGTTTGGCCTCTGATTACAGGCCCTTCCTGTTCCACACCCTGTCAAGCTGAACTTATTTCTTTATTGAACAAGTGTCATGGCATTAAAAACAGACATTCTGCAATTTCATTAACAAATATTCTACTAATAAGCAATAAATTATGTTAGAACTAAATAATAGTTTTATTGTGTAAACTGTAAGATCAAAAAATGATAAAGCGATTTACTCTCCATCTGAAGATGGTACATTCAGGTTGTCTTAATAGGTTTGTAAAACAGACAAAATAGTGTAAAAATGCATATTTAAAATATTTTAGAAAATAAAGGAAAATTTGCTTTGCTTTAAGTTCACTAATCATAACCCTTTGATTGAAGGTGGTCAGAATATTATTTAATTGTGAGTGTGCCTGTTTTACCGTGTTAGTCTGTTTCTGAATATTAGGAGAGGGTGTAAATAATTGTGTTACCTACTTTGGGGGTGAATGGGCAAAGCTTAGATGTAATATATATTTTAAAGAAAACAATTTTCAAAATTCCACTTAAATGTGATCTCAGTTCAGCTAAATATGAGTTTGGGTTTAATATAAAATATGTTTTCAACTATGTTTATTTTTTTAATCATATATTGACAATAAAATCACCTTTTTAATATTTTAAATGAAAAAGGGCGTATACTGTTCACATGAGGGGAGAAATGACCAATTTATGAGCTCAGCGCCACCTTGTGGAAACAATGCAACTTAAATCGATTGTATGGAGAATTACACAGGACTGTAATGGTCATTATAATGTGACTATATTAATGAAATGTTAATGTATTTTATTAATTAAGTTCAACAGATAGATTCTTTTCATACGCAGTGGCGCATTCACGTGTTTTGTTTGTTTATTTCTGTTGACTTAGATTTTTTTGACTTGGAGCCAATTAAAGCCCCAAAATTCAGTTTTTCTGAAAATTAGGAAAGTATAAATCATCTATCTTTATTTATAAAGCGCTTTGCAACATCCGAAAGATGAACAAAGTCAGCAAAATTAAAACAGAAATGATCAAACACATAAAGAACGCAACATAAAAATCATTAAAAAATATGTAAAACTTGTAACAAAATAAAAAGTGCCAAGAAAATGTGTGCTAGTGTTAAAGCATCACAGCTCTACTATTACAATCCTTTTGAAGGAAAATGTTTTAAATTTAGATTTAAAAACTTCAGGATCCACAAGAAAAAAAAGAGCAGTCACTCCACTGCTCACCTTGAATTTGGTACCACAGTGCCCTCTGGTGGAAATGAGATTTTGTTTGAGGTTAGAAAGTCAATGGTAAATAGTTAGTATCTGGCAAATGGTAAATGAACAAAAGTCAGTACAAAGTCCTCAGATTAATAGTTCAAGATGTGTGTGTGTTCTCGTCCCCACTTGACCATACACACCCACGCGCTCCCACACACACACACACACACACACACACATTCCTGCAGGGAAAGCAGAGCCACTGGCCAGGAGCCACTGCAGGCCTCAGATAATACTTACTTCATGCTTATGTACCTAATTCATAATTGCTGTTTACTTAATACTACTTAGTACATAAATACTTACAAATTACTTAATTATGTAATTCTTACGTACATACTGTTACCTACATAATAGTACTTAATACTGACATACTTAATACTTATTACTTCATGCATACTTAGTACATAATTAACACTTAGTACTTAGTTAATACTTACATTTTTAATACTTCATTACTTAAAAATACTTACCCTATCCACTCTCTAAATGCTCTGGTAAAGCATTTAGTGTTTTAAGTGCATGTTCCCTGCTGATAATGTTTAACCTTTTTTTTCCAATTATTTTCCAGCTAACTTCTCTGACCACTGCTGGAAACCCCAAACATTCTGTTTATTTAGTTGAGGGAAGTTTACTTCCAAACATATTGCAATCCCTGATTGCTCAGTTGCTGACAGACCCACGCCATTGATTGACAGATGTACGTGTGTGTATGTGTGTACTCATTTAGTTTTAACAAATCAAAATTGTGAGAAAAACATTAGAAAACTATTTTTTTGTTTTGTTTTGTTTACAAAAGCAAAGCCAGACTGCAGGAGAAACTACACTTCTTAACACTTCCTCAGTAACTAAAATAAGAAGTAGCGGACAGGCGAATCAAATGTATTGATTAACTCATCAATTTCAGAGGATGTGTCCACCTCTAGAGCAGCAAGACTTTTATCAGTTTGATGGTCTGGTGCAAACAAGTCTGGACCAAACAACAGATTAAAAAATTACCTTCTTTCAGCAACTGTTGTCTCCATCAATCTAAGAAGGGTTGTAATGCTATATCAAGCTATTGAAGTAAAAATACTTAGAAAATGTTTATGACCGCTGTCAAAATTCCCAAAGGTGGAAGTTAAAGTGATGGCAGCACAATCAGACAGTCAGATGTATGACTTGTTTCGATGGGCTGCTGGGAGGAACAGTCAATGAACTGAAGCAACAATATAAAGTAGTTTGACTGAATTCTTTAGCAACAATGCAAGACACTGAAAAGGGAGATTTCCAAACAAATCATGTAGACTTGAGTTCTCATGCACTGCTTTCACATTCTGCCTTAATTTTATTCATTACATAGTGATATGATATGTAATGATTTTAGCTTTGATATTAATTTATCTAAGTCCTTAAAATAAAAACCCTCAACACTGAAGGACATTGCAGGCTTTATGACAACAATGACAATAGAAAAAAATCATCTTAACAAAACATCTGAATAAGACACAGGTTTCAATATTTAAGTGAGGCTCTATAAAACATTACAGTAATAGATCCCTTGTCTGTAGTAAAAAAAATTAATTGCCATAAAAATGTGGATACATTTAGCCTGATCTGCTTTGTTTGAATTCAGAAGCAGTTTAAAACAAAAACAAAAGCTGTTTAGTTTTCATTTTAAACTGAAATTAAATACAGTATACTTTACCATGTTAGTGAACATTAACAGACTGAGATGTTTAAATAGCCAATACCAGCCACCGATGGAGTGGTTAGCTCCCACCATCCTCACTTCTCTTCATTTTCAAGAAGTTAGGAGTCAGATGAGATTTTTCGATCACAGCCAAGGGAACTATAATTCACAATAATTTCATAAACACTCATTCCTAAATACTAATACCAAAAGAACAGAACAATTATACTTTTACAATGTATTGATCATTAATATTTCTGATTTTAATCACAAACAAAAAAACTAAAAAACAACTGATAAGCACATAAAATATGTCTTTACATTATGATGGCATTATGATGAGACGTCAACAGAACAAGTGTACTTCAAAGTAAACCAGGGTCTGAATTCCAAACCCATATTATTCTTTTAGACAGTTGGTTCAGTCTTGATCCACAGAGACGTATCACCAATTCTTTTCACTTTCACCACTTTCACCATAAGCTTACTTATGGTATGATTAATTTTACTTGTAAATTACAAGCATTCCATCAGAAACAACACTGACTGATAGAAAGTGCAAAACAATTCCCATTATAAAGTTGAGACATGGGTCATGTCACTGAGAATACATGTGTCAAGTGAAATTTTGTAGGGTACAGCTTCAAGTGTCAACAGCAGGATGAAAAAAAAAACCTCATCTTCAGGATGAAAAAAAAAACCTCATCTTCATATGGGCTTTTATGTATTCAAGCAGTGCAAACTGGCAGAGACATGGCACATAATTGCACTAAACAGCAAAAACAATAAAGGCCATTCAAACAATTGGTAAACTTTCAGTTCACAATGAAATTTCTTAGAGAAAGATTTACCAGACGATATATAGGACATCTAATATCAAGCATGAGAGGATTTTATTTATTTGTTTTTTTACTTTCTAAAACATTATTAAAAATCTTTCTGACATCCTGGCACATTTTAAAACTGGAATCTCAGTTACATCTGAGCTCTTCCAATTCAATATTTCAGTTTTAACCCAGCATGCATTCAAACCAAACTTCCACCCAGACTGAAGGGAGTGAACTTCTGAGCCTGTTGAGCTCCAATCTCTGCCACGTACAAAGCTCCGGCCTTTAGATCCAGATCAACCAGGTGAGGCTTCACATCTTCCGCCAGCTGGATGACGCTTGCCACTTTACACTGACCAATTAACCCCACAGGTGGTGCATCTAGCAGTGTAATCTGATTGGTGTTTAGCTGTACAACAACAAAATATTTTTTGTCTGGAGTCAGGCGAACAGAGTAGGGTGCATCCTCTGTGAAGCAGCTGCCCCATGTGCCCAGCCAGTCCCCTGTAATGGAGTTAAACACCTGGATCCTTTTGTTGCCCCTGTCAGCCACCCACACTCTCTGGGCACTATCCACTGTCACGCTGTGAGGAATATAGAACTGAGCCAGGCCTTGTCCTTTCTCTGCATGCATCCACAACACTTTCTGGTCTTTAGAGAGCTTGATGAGGCGGTTGTTCGTGCCTCCATCACCATCCACAATATACATTTCCTGAGATTCATGGACAAAAATCTCAGCTGGCTGGTCGAACTGCAGAGGGTCCAACCCAGAACCTGCTTTCCCTGGAGTCCCAAGCACCTGACACATGCAAGAAAAGATTATAAAACAATGTTGAGTGATAGAGAATGTCTCTGTGTTAAAATCCTGTTTCTGGCATTAAAGAAAACTCTAAAAGAAGCATTTACCTGCAAAAGCTCTCCTTTTGGGGAGTACTGTTTGATGGAATGGCCATACGGACCATCCCCCACATCAGTGATCCAAATGGTGGGATCTTTGGAGGATGCGTCTGCTAAAAACATCCCATGAGGCATCTCCAGGGTAGTTGTGTTCCACGACATGAGAAACTCTCCTTCTGTGGTGAAGACCAGCACTTTGGGGACATTAGCTCCTGGAGAAAAGCAAAACTCAGCATTGACTCAAATAACTAGAAATACGTCTAAAAATGGTGCAGCTAGGAACCGATAAAGATAATTTCAAAAAGAGTCTATTGTTGTTTTTGGTGCATCACACAGAATCATCAAAGTTACTCCAGACAAAGAAAAATTAACATTCTTTCAACATCTCAGTCGGTGAATGTTCCTTGTTGTTTTCAGTTTGAAAGAATCCGGATGATTTGCTGATCTGCCTTCTCAAGCTTGTGAGACATCTGTTCTCTGGCTTAACAAAACAACTGAATAAGACACAGGTTAAGTATAAAGTAGTTTGAGTGAATTCTTTAGTCAAACTACTAAAGAACAGTGCAGATTGTTGAAAACTAACAATCTGCACTGCAGGCTGTTTGCTGAGTTTTAAAGCCTGTGGTGGGCTTTAGATAGAACTGGTAAGATCATCTCAAAATGACAAATAAACAGTGAGGTTTTCAACCCCTGCAAATATGTTTTCTTTTCACTCTTGCTGCCATCACTGGTAAACAAACAAATAGCTGGAACAGATCAATGTTCTGCAAAAGTCAGCTGTGGCTTACTCAGCTAATTAATCTGATCTGAGGTTTCTATCAATGTTTCCATTGATATCAACTAAACAGAAATATTTGTCACCAGCTAAATAACATTATTGGGGGGGGAAATGATGGCAATATATTTCCAGATTAGTAGATTATCCCCACGATAATCACCTTTGTGACATTTGCCGCTGATAAATCTTCCGCAGCCAAACACACACAGTGTCACATTAACCAAGGTGTGTACCTCTCTGTGCTACGAACACCACCGCCGCGTACTGGTTGACAGCCACACAGAACACCTCTCCGGTGAAGATCTCCGGGTTCTTGGGCCAGCCCAGGTCCAGTTTGTACAGCGGTGTCCCCATCAGCTGGTAGTCATGTCTCAGGCTGGAGCTGCTCCGGCGCAGCCCGCCGCCGCTGCTGCCGCTGTACAGCAGCATCATGAACAGGATTAATGACACCATACCTGAAGCTATCAGGCACCAATGGCTCCTCTTCTTCATCAACATTTGCTGCCTCGCTGTGTCTGGAACTAGAATCTGTTTCAAATCGACGAGGACATAGAGCGGATGCACAAATTCAAACCCATATAACGATTAATAAAATGCGCGATAAAGTCCGTACGGATGTCAATCAGTAGGTCATAAACAGTAGTCACTTCCTGGACTCATTTGATGCGTTCTATCATGCTCGTAAATTGGATTATCGAGTCACCAGTTGGAAAAGGAATTAGAATGCGCCATGAAGTTGAAACCGCCCTTTAAAGTCGACGCAAGAATTTCCGAATTCAGCATGGCCGCTCCCATATAATGTTGAGTCAGTTGTTGGTTGGTTTATTGGATGTTATTGGCATTGTACTGCTTTCAGGAGTTAGCAATTTCGCAGCGCTCACCTAAGACTTCCGAGAAAACGTGAATACATCACCAGGCGAACAAACGTGTAGTTCCGGTTTGAACAGGACAAAACTAAATCACATGACAAAACTAAATCACATGACAAAACCAGAACCCTGACCAAAATGCGATTCAGGTTTTAGTATAAAGTAGCAAAAATGTTTAAATGGCTCATGGACTTATAAATGCATATTTTATCCAAAAGGGGGCTGTCAGTTTTATTTATGTGCAAATAAACAAACATTGCAGTGGAACTCTAATTTTCATTACATCACACCTGGAATATAACTTTGTTATATTCAACAAACATGCTTCTCAAGGTACTGTTTTTACAGAAATATCTTTTAAGTAAGCCCATTACTAGTCTAAATTCCAGTTCACACTAAACATTTTAATATCTATCAATAGCAAAATTCAACATTTAATGTTAATATTATTTTATATTATATTACTTAATACTATAAAATGTATTACAAAAATTTCTTCTGCGTTTTTGTAGATGTTGACAGCTCTGGGCATCATTTCCAAAAAGAAGTAAATGTCATTTATTATACTCAACTAGAGCAATGTACATTTTCCCAAGTGTACTAGCAATATGTTAGCAAGTGAACTATATAGGGAATATTTGACCCACTTTAAATTTATGAAAGTATACTTTGAAGTGTACTGTAAGTTTATTTGTACTAAAACTGCAACTTTTACTTTTACAAAGTATTTTATACAAGTACACTGAAAGTAATCTTCCAAATATATGGTTAGTTTTATAGAAGTAGATTTCTGTGGCCCTTTTAAACATTGTTAGGGTGAGAGTAATGGGCATGGATGTTGGGTGTATGACCTTTGATACCATGTGGGACATGCCAGGAAAGGAGCTGTCAACCTACAAAGAACTTCCATTGCACTTGTGTCAGTACATTTATTTTTCTATCAAGGTCTGTTCCTGACTGTTTTGGTTTGTAAATGCAAAACATTGACGCTTATGTGTTATATTGAGTACATCTGTCCACTGATTCAGAAACCACATTTTAATGTTGGTTTCTGTGATTGTCATTTTGAACTCATCCAAGAATCAATATGAATGTAACAGTAAAATATTAAATTAATGGCGGTTTACTAGTCATATGGCATTAGGGATGAAGCTGATGTGGAATCTGGCTGTTCTGCATTTGAAGCTGCTGAATCTTTTCCCAGAGGGCAGCAGGGAGAACGAACCATGCTGAGGGCTCAAGGGGTCTTTTGTATTTGTCCGAGCCTTGGACAGGCAGCAACTGTCAGGGGTGTCAAGGATGGAGGAAGTGTTACATGCTCCAAACCATATATGTGTTGCTGTCCTCTCTATTGTCCCTCTGTAGAAAGAGTGAGACTTAGAAACGCAGAGAAACATAACAAAGTAACTCCAGTGTAATGACGTGCATGTGAATATATCAGTAAAGATTGGCAGGTGTTGCATGTAACTGAGATATCAAGTGTGCACTACAAATCCGTTCATAAGGATCTTCAGGACAAACTCTCTCTCTGGTCCAAGAGTCATGTCGCTTGTGGTCATGAGTGAAAATCCTGTAGAACTACACTACAGCCAACAGCTGTTCTGACTATCATTCCTCCCCCTAGAACCTACTGATACCAGCGAGTTGTTTTGCCATACAAAAAATGGCGGCTTGCGTTTGCTCACCTCCTGCCTACTGCGCGTGCGCCTCTTGCCACGTCTGAATTGACAACTTGTCACGTCACGACGTTTTGCTGTACCTCTGAATGCTACGAGGGCAAATGAGCTTCCTCGGCTGTAATTATCTTCTTTGTGTTTATTGTACATTCGATATATTTGTATTGTAGTGCGAATGACACTCACGGAAGCTCAGACGCACAGTACATGTAGAGCAAACCATCGACGAAGCGGCACCATGGAGGTCGTGGACAGTCCGCTGAACCTGGTAAGTTCTCATCTTGATGTTGCAATAACAGGCTAATGTAAAGGAGTCCGTCCGTGTTAGCATGGTGAATGTTAACACACCGACACGGTGTCTGCCTTAGCGCTGGTTTTAAATGCCGACACAGTGCCTTACAAGGACTTACTGTATAGTACTTACTGTACTATCATGTTTGTTTCGGCTGTGGGTCAAGTATACCCCTTGTATCGGCATATTTGCTATTATAGCAGTAATATTTGTCCACACATTGACCCTCGACTAATTGCAGCACACGTTTAATGTTTTTATGTCATTAAACAACTTCAGTCTTTTTCCTATGAGGCAACGTTAGGCAAGAAAACCAATTATGTGAGCTGCTAAATATAGTCAGTGTTTTGGATTTCTGATATGCTAACGCTTATGAGGAGTGACGGGAACTTACTTATTTCTCTTTTTCTCTATGGATAACATCGAGGGACAAAATACTTAATGAGAAATTTCTCATTAAAGATAAGAAAGGCATTTTTATTTAGCTTTATTTTCACAAATGTTAGTTGTGACATGTCGATTAGGAAGTAATTGAACCTTGTTGAACTCTTGTATATGTTAGATCAGATGGCGCCCAGTCCTCCAGAGCTACCACCCAAATCCAACACACCCGAATCAAGTGAATGACTTATACATCTGCAGATGGATCGGCTGTGTTGAAAGAGGGCATGTAGGACATAGCGCTGGAAAAAAATCTATATATCAGAAGGACTTACCCAGTCTGTACTGTGTGAGGGAGGATTCCTCAGAATTCACCTCTCAAGTTACCAGCTGCATTGTGCTGTTAAATGTAACCATAGTAACATGTTAGTGACGTTTAAAAAAAATAATATTTCAGCTGCTTTATCTGCTGTACAGTACATTTCTACTTCCAGCTTGGAATGATGATAAATCATGTTGATGAAATTGTACCATCTCAGTAAAACCAGAGTCATAATTTCACTATTTACATGCATGCTCTCAGAAAACCATTTTTAAATTATGGATGTGCCAAGAACTCTGAGCTTCTTTGTGTGTTAGATTTAACTCTGTCTCATCATGTGTTAAGTGTGCATACAGTGTAGAGAGCTTGACGACTGTGTGTTTATTTTAATCTGTTTAATCCAAACATCACTGTTTGAGCTCCTCAATGTGTTTTATGAGCACATTGCTGTGGGACGTATTCTACTCCATATATGTGTTTTCACTGGGAGGGTTCTCATAAAAAGGCCGGGGATGATTATGAAATATTTTTCTTAATGCATATATTGCAGTTGAGCAAAGTGTAACTCTCAACAAATTCTTTTATTCTGCATCCTCTTCCCTGTTTCTACCATATTGCACGCGTGCCATCATTTTACTGTGGTCAGGCACATCAGCAGTGCAGAAAGGCAGAACGTTTGGTCACTGCTGGAAAGTATGAAGAGGCCATTTCCTGCCATGGAAAAGCTGCAGGTATGGTTTTCTGGATGTGTTACTCTTAGGAACATAAGAACAGAAACATTAATGTGGACTGCACTGACAAATATTTGTGTGACTATGTGGTTTTCCTAGTAATTTACCCTGTAATTATACTCATGACATGCAGTAGTTCTAAATGTTACTGAGGCAGGCTCACATTGACTAACAATGAAAACAGGTCATATCATTATTCTCTAATTCTATTTCAGAATTACTGTGATGCTTCAGTAATTTACTAATAAGCAAAATCCATTTTTCAAATGATTAACTTTATTGATATTAATTGAAATTATTGGGACGTATGTAAATTCATCCCAAAATGAGTGGAGCTCATTTCTTATGAATGAGCTCCACTCAGCATGCTCATCTTAATGAGCTCCACTCATCTTAATGATCTTCCACACAGCTCATCATTCTGATTCTTTCTGTATGGCTTCTTCAGCTCTCACTTTGTTGCATTCCCATAGATCTGCTATTGCCTCTAATGGCTTGGGGTGGTAAGACAACTGACAAAGACATGACTGGGGATACCACATGTCATTCCCATGTCTCTCTGTCTCTTTTAGATCTTCTCACAGAAGCAATGAAGTCAACAGAGTGTGAGCAGGTGATTTGCCTCATATTATACTATCACAATAGGGTTTGAATAAATATGAAAAGAATACATTTTTGTGAAAGTCACATACTGCATTAAACTTGTGATTAGAAATAAAGGTGTACAATAGCTGTGTATTTTCTTTGTCAGCTGAGTGTTAGAAGTCATTGCTAGCATAGTGTAGCGTAGCTCATGGCTGATGTTGGTGTTCTGCTTCTGAAGGCCCGTCTGTCCATGGAGCTACAGAGAGACAGCCATATCAAACAGCAGCGTCTGATTCAAGAGCGCTGGAAGAGAGAAACTCGACGTGAAGCAACCAGGGCGCGACCCGGCGCCGGGCCAGGCCCCCTAACCAAAACCCAGCCGTCAGGACAGCCCCCGGCTGCTGCCGCTGCCAGGCTCTCTACTGAACCAGGCGGAGGAGTCGGTGAGCGAGAGTACGACACCCTGCTTTACCAGTTCCAGACTCGGCAGGCTGGAGCCTGCCAGCGTTTGACTTCACCGTGCGCTGGCTCCAAAACCACCAAGGATGATAAGACCCGCCTGGAGGAGCAGCAGACCACCATCGACGACCTGCGGCGCCTGGTCGACCATCTGATGAACGATAACCAGCGACTGTCGGCCGAGAACAAGCGGCTACGTTTGGAGAACGCCCGGCTGCAGTCTGAGGCCGCAGACTTCGGGGAGCGTTCTGAGCTCTGGGTGCTCCCTCATGCAGCAGGTGCCATGGGAACGGGGAGTGGGCAGGAAGGGAAGAACAGTGGGAAAAGCAAGGAGATCGCTATCCCTCAGCTGCCGCCATTGGAGATGCCGGCTCAGGAAGATCTGTGTTTGGATGACCTGCCACCCCTGGAGCTGCCTGAAGACATTAAGAATGAACTGCAGGAGCTCCTAGACATAGACAAACTGGGATGAAACAATACTGAGCACACACACACACACACACACACACACACACACACACACACACACACACACACACACACACACACACACACACACACACACACACACACACACACACACACACACACACACACACACACACACACACACATCACCATCTTCATCATCAAACTATGTCAAATGTGGGTCACTGACAGCTGGGTTAATCTGGGTGAAACCTAAAGTACAGACATCTCTACTTTCAGGACAGGATTGACTCCTGGACTGTCTCAGCAGCTCAACATGTTCTACTGGACTGGAAATCACAGTCAGACATTAGCATCATTACACAACAGGGCAACTGTGGAGTAAATTCCTCTGAAGTAATAGCATACACTCATTCACCACACTGATAACTTACCCAGGCTTTGTTATTTGCTCCTGTTTAGAGGTAACACCATGCCTTGACCTTTGTGACCTAAGAACAAAGTGTTGCATAGAAGGACATCAGGTGAGGAACAGAAAGCTGCATGTAGTTCATCTGGCTGTTACCATGGAGAATGCAGTCAACAACATTACATCACCTTTATGTTCCCCTCCATCGTCCTGCATGGTTGTGGATGAATGAGCCCTGCCCCTCCCACAACATCTTTGGGATCATTTTGAATTACTATCCATATTTCTGCACACAGATAAAGATGCAGTGAGAATCAGCTGCAGGTGAGCACATTACTGCTGCTCTCTGGAAATCATGGCTGCAGTTTTCTATCACTGTAGCAGACAGAAATTAAAAAGTTTTAATTATATGTGTGTGCTGTGATCTTTATCTCTTAAGCATTACAACATAATGTCTGATCTGCTTATGCCATTAAAGTGTGATATCAGATTCCAGGCTTTAAAATTATTGCCGTGTTCATGTAACATGGTGGCATCACTCATTCACCACATTCACCCTCTGGGTCTTATAGTTGAAACAATGTTCTTATATTTTGTTTCTAAACTTAGGAAATTTAATAGGAGATAAGAACTAAAATGGTGTGGTTTTCCATTGTTCAGCTACCAAAACCTAAAGTTATAAATGGCATATGGCATGTTGTTCACATGCTGCTTATAGCATGTGAACAATATGTTATAAGCAGCATGTATTGTATTTACCCATCTGCATGGTTAAATACAGATGGAAGAGAAAAATGGCTGATTTGTCTCCCTTGACGTAAGTGAAGCTTTTCATGTATACTGAGGGACATCAGAGACTTTCCCCTGTTCTGATGCTGCAGCTGAAGTCTGTAGCCATGGTGACCATTACATTTGGAACAGAAAAGGGGGAAGTTTGCATCCAAGAGCTCACCAGCCCAGATGGGTAGTGCAGAGAGGCAGCATCATGTTGTTTTACTGCAGGAGGGACTGGTGCACTTCAGAAATCTATTTTCTGTGAAAATGTTGGAGCAACATCTCAATAATTTAGCCAGGAAGTTGAACTTTGAACCCAAATGGGTCTTACACATGGACAGTGTCTCTGAGTGAGTCACCAAATTAGTTCCAAAGTAGCTTTTGGACAAAAAAAAATAAAAAATCAATTTATAAACCAGTCATTCCCAGATCAGTCTTCTTTATCAGGTTGTGACTAGTAGAAAAGGTTTGACACATGTCAGAGTTTAAAAGATAGTTATTCCTGATACTCACCAAATGTGTATAAACCTCTGAAATAAAAGAAAGTTACTTTTAAAAAAAACTGTAGCGGCGATTGTTTGCCAAACCAAACATCCAATAAAAGTTCCATCAAGCCACTACTGAGGCACTAGGTCAAGATTCTGTACACAGAAAAAAGAAGTTTCAATGTCCAAACTTGATTGTTCTGGATGATTTTTTTTCAGTAAACGATTACAGAGTTCAAATTTTCCTTTGTTCTCATGCTACCTCTCTTGCTCTGGTAGAAACCAGAGGCCCCAAACGCCTGCTGCTCCTTTAGCAGGCCCTGACAATGACCCACATTTCTTCCCATCTTACTTAGAAAAAATAAATACAAGAAAATAAATAAAATCAACAATTATTAACCTGCAAATAAACTCTGTAAATAATAGAAAAAATAGAAATTTAAGAATAAATAGCTCCAACAAAAACACACACACACAAAAAAATCAACGTTTTTTGGCATTAAGTGAATACAAATTCTAACTGGCCGGAAGAGAAGTTTGGTCTGACTCAATGAAAAAACATCTGACCTCTGGTTCATTATAAGCCACAGGTCACAGCTGGAAACTCAAAGCCACTTGAATGAGTGACAGTTTAGATCAACTATTTGCTTCAGTAGATTCACTAACCAAAGAATACCAGCAGGGGGCGCTCAGGTTTTTTTTTTTGTTTTTGTTTTTTTTTTTAGACATTTTGTCAGCAAAACGGAAACTTCTAGACATGCCAAACTTCATACATGCAATCAACACTTTACTGTTTATGTGTAATGACTATATAGTTGGAACTAGATATCTATATAACCAACTTTATGTTTTCAATATCTGACAAATAATTAAACCAAACGTTTCCTGTTTTAGGTCAACTCCCATTACTAATATTTCTGATAGTTAAATACCAGAATCAGAAGTTTGAAGACATTTTGAAATTCAGAAGTTCCCTTCTGAACATTTTCTCAGTGTTTAGTAGAACTATCGACTTCACTCTGACATAGCAAAACAGTTAGGTTTCTACTTCCACAGACATGGTTTGGTGTGTCTACTGGATGTTTGGTCTACTTACATTTTCTCATGATGCCAAACAAGCAAGCAGTGGTTTAAAAGTCCTGAATGGAGGTTTTCACTGCAGTGATTTTGGGTGATGGGAGAAACAAAGAAACGGCAATGTCTGTCAAGCATAAAAGACAATAAAAGCCTCATTTTTTTTCTTCTGCCTTTGTATTGACAGGCAGATTTTATTTTAGTGTATTTACCTTACAGCAAACTTATCAAAACATTTTTAAAACTGTGTCCACACAGCCCTGGTGGGCACATTGGCCTTTGGTTTAGTCAGGTAAGAGCATTAAACTGACATCAACACATGAGCATGTGCAGCCTGCTGCTGCACATTTGCAGGTTGTTCATTAGGATGTTTAAAAAAACACTGGCTCAGAGAAATGCTGAGCTCCACTGGAAGCAACAGTGCTGCGGCTAACATGGTTTGGTCTGTCTCCACACAGAAAACTAGATTAGACAAAATGAGATGAAAAACATCAGCACATATAAAATAATGGGAGGATATGCATGTGCAAATTATGCTGTTACATTAAAAAGCATATGAATCACAAAAAGTCATAAAAAAGCAAACATTAACACTCAGAAAAATTAAAGCTTGAAATTTACAACCATGATCTTCTCTGGGTAGATCAGTGAAAGTCAGAAAAACTAGAGAATTCCCCTTTTTGACAGAATGAAAGTGTTGGGAACACTCCAACACGCCTGGCTTCCTGTCCATCCAGGGTCAGCATGTTCCCACTTCCTGTTCTGAGACATGACTCAGCTGCTGCCACGTTTGACGGAGGAAAAGCAGCTGAAAGCAGCAGCACAGTCAGAAATGCTCCTCATGTCTACACTGAAACTAAAAGCATCGTTTTGCTTTAAGCAATGGTTCAAAAACAGCATTTCAAATAATCCAACATACAGAAAATGGTCCACGAGTTCAAACCTAACAAGCCACGCGTCACGACGTCCATCAACCAGAAGAATGTTTCAGTTGATGAAAATAATATTTTATTCTGATTATGGAGTCAGATATTTTGGAAAGCAGAAGCAAAAAATGTATACTAAAGCTATATTAACAACATTTGAAATCCCCAAGCCACAGTGGTACCACGTTATTCATATTAAATGAAAGAGCAGATGATGAGGAATGTGTCTAAAAAACAAAAGACAAAATATTTCCCTCTCCTATAAAAACCCATCAGTCCCAGTGAGAGACGACAAATAGACCATAATACCCCTGAACAACGCTCTGAGGGGAAATACTCTGAGCTGCAGGTAATAAATATGTCAGCAGATTGGTCATCGCATAGAGTCCAGCAGAGTGAAACATCAGAGTGGGAAAACAAGGTGACAACATCATCCACCAATCAGCAGGCAGCTCTGCAGGGTCTCATGACGCGCCGTAGTTAACGGAGTTCAGCGCCGGCCTCTTCTTGCTTTTGATCTTCAGTGATCCATAACGAAGCTGCTGGTGACAGAAAACACAGTGAGTTTTCTGAGATGCTGAGAAACGTTCCGCTCAGCATCTTTAGCGCAGGTGAAACTGTGAAAGCATTTGGAGACTCACAATTAGTTATTGGCAAGGAAAAATGAGGGGACTGTCTGGTTTTAGCAATGAATTAGTTTCAGTGGAAAACATGCAGTCATCATTCTGCATCAGCCTCTCACACAGGAAACTACAACTAAGAATGTTCCAGCTAAAGTTAGAAGTTGCTGCAGCAACAAAGATCTGAGAATGTTCAGCACCTCAGTTCCAGTCAAAGGATCTCAGTGGTTGTTAAATCGTCTGGATTTGCCTGGAAGCCTTTGATAAAATTTTTTTTGACTTATTTAAATAGTGTGTAAATGTCCACGTGCAGAAGACAAATAAATACCCTGTCTGTCCCCTGAGGAGTGTATTTCAGATATTTTCCCTGTCAGCAGGGTCAGGGGACACTTACGTCTTTGCGGACTCTGGATCTTGTGATCTTGACGCTCTGGGAACGTCTCAGTCCTTTCTGACTGACGGCCTCATCTTCAGAGAACGTTGGCTCCGCCTCTTCATCGGACCCATCCTCCTGCTCATAGTAGTACTCTGAAGAAACAAAAGACACACACACACACACGGTAATCAATGAAACCATGTGACTGTGTGTGAAGCTTCCTTTGATGAGCTGAATGAGCTGAATCAAATCATCGGGCCTCTCCTTCCCTCATCAGATGTCAGTTTCTGGCATATGGAATGTTACATGTGGTAAAAATATACATGTAACAAACCTAACCATATGGGAAGATGATTATTATGATGCGTACTGTGAGAGAACTGTTCAGAAGAAGTGAAAAGTAGGCTCATGATTTAACGTCAGGCGGGTCCTCCATTTCTCACAAGGTCTTGTGAATGTTGACTGTCGCTCCGCTGAGGAGTTTCAGCTTCCTCTCTTTCCACATCATGCATGTTAGGTTCCCTTCCAAACCAAAAGTGTGTGTCTGTGTTGCTGGTGTGTGTTAAAGAAGTGAGGGTGCGGCTGAGTTCAGCAGAACCTCATGTTTCTGCTACCTACAGCACACACACTTGATCGGATTAATCATGATGAATCAGTTATTGAATTAATCATCAACTAATTTAGTAACAGATTGATTTTTAACTGGAGTTAAACATCAAAATGGCCATTGGCTGAAAAACAAGATTCTTAGAGCAATAATTAAGCCAAAACTGTATAAAATATATATGTTTTGTGTAGTTAAGACAAAAGAAGCCTTCTTTGTCTCTGTATGCTCTAGCCAAACTTCTCAAATGGTTTGTTTTAGCTTCACCTGGTAAAAAACCACCTGATGAGCATGACGAGTCCATCCATACGGCCAAAACACGTTACTTGTGTTTGTGGTACCAACACCTGGGTGACACATACTTTAAACGCTGCGATTAAAGTCAGAAGAATGGAGACAAATTTCACATTAGCTGCAATTATGCAATTATTTTTGAGTCAGCAGCTCAGACTTCCTGCTCTAAGCTTCACCAATAAACCAAAGGGCTAAAATGAAAGAAAAAGGTCGTCTTTACCACCTTCTTGTGGTAGACTGGCTGTTTAACAAAACACAAAAACTGGTCCAGTTTGACGACCAGTTTAAAATAGTAAAAACTGAAATTCAAAGTAAAGCAGATCCAGCTCAGAACTTTATTTATTCTGAATTCTGTAACAACACAAAACTTAGCTGAACACACAGAGCGACGCCCTCTTGCCCCGCCCACATCTCTGCCCGTCCCGATCCAACAGGACCAACAGGACTTTCTGACTCAGCAGCTCTGCACTCCAACCCACATCTCCTGAAAACAATGGTTTCCTTGCTGCTGCTTCCTGACTTGCTGACCTCTGACCCCAACAGCAGTTTTACCAGGGATTTCCTGGTTTTGTTGCAAGTGTTTGCTTTCTGTTTGTTTTGGGTTTTAGGTCCTGCTGTTGCTACATAAGATCTATGGTTGTCTCTCCACTTGTTCCAAGCAAACAGAAAGGAACCAACTACAAGAGTTGGAATGGGACCAAACTTTCCAGGAGATCAAGAAACGCCAAACAACTGACTGAATAAAGAAAATACAGCACTTCCCCTCAACTGTTCTCCATGTTCTCTACTTTTTTTCATCAACTGCAGACCTGATGCTCATCCCTCCGCAGACCAATGAAATGAGGTCTCACTGAGGCAAGCTGCAGATATTCTGCTGTTCATCCCACAGACCTTCCAGTCGGCTCAGAGCTCTTCTGTTCAGAGTCCTGTCACTTTCAGAAGAGCTTCTGCTTCAAACTCTATCAAATATGTAAGGTGGGATCTAGAACACGATAACATGCTGAGGAAATATTTCAACCAATCAATGATGGGTTGAAATATTGACCAGAGACAATCAACCCAGCAGAACTCTGGAGTTTGACTCCCAGCTGACCCTCTGGATTCCACAGAGTCACTTCTGTGGTAATTCTCTTCAACACCCTGAATGTGAAGCACAGAGCCAAATATCATTCCATCAACCTTCAGACGAAAACACCAGGAAGGTGAGTTGTTGCTTGCAAGCTTCCTCAGACACATACCAGGCGATGTTTCCCAGGCTACGGTTGCCTAGACGCCAGCTGTACGCTGTCAGAACTCAAAGCTGTTGATGGAAAGATAAATCAATTCCAATCTTTTACATCTACTGCAA